GCAAGAATTTTCTCGTATTGTTTTTGATTGGCAATTAGGTATGTGTGATCTTGCAACAAGTGAGAAGTAGTATTTACTAGCTTACGGCGTTCTATTTTGAGGTTGACCTGCATATGCGCTCTGACTATTCTGTGGTCACTCCCGGCGGTCACTCGGTTTAACACAGTCACATCTTTAAACAGCTGTTTTTTGTTGGATAATATGAAGTCGATTTGGTTATGTGTTCTTCCATCTGGGCTTATCCATGTCCACAATCTCTTATCTCTTTTGGGAAAGAAAGTGTTCATCGCGTACAGATTCTGGCCTTCCAGGAAATTAACTAAAGTTTGTCCTCTTGAGTTTCTTTGGCCAAGACCGTATTTCCCGACGTATTCTTCACATTCCGTTGCGCTGCGACCTATTTTAGCATTGAAATCTCCCAAGACAGTTGTATAGTAGCACGGTTCATCCTACAACGATTTAGTAAGGTCGTCATAGAAAGATTCTAGTTCTTCGTCATCTTTGTCAGCTGTTGGTGCATATACCTGAACTACTTTCATTTTGTATCTTTGACTTAGTTGAAATATCGCATAGATCACTCTTGGGAGATATTGATGTGATTTTCTTTAACTTTGGTGCCAGTGGGGTATTTATCAAAAAGCCGACTCCTCCTCTGGACTGTCGATCATCGAAGCCCTTAGTATAAAATAACTGCCCAGATTTAAGTTTTGTCATTGTTTCGCCCTTTCTTCTAGTTTCGCTGAGACCAATAACATTCCATTTTATCTTATTAAGGACTTCGGATTCCAATTCCGAGAACCGTTCATCCGTAAGTAACGTTCGAACATTATACGTTGCCAGGTAAATATTTTGTAAGCAGCCAGATCTTACCCAGTGATTCTTAGCACCCTCCGTCTTGTCAGAGCTCTGACCGCTGCCGTAGCCAGGTCTAGCAAGACCGCTGGGGACTGAGGGCCTGTTTTTGTTTTGTTTTTGCATGGAAGGTATATGGCCTTAAAACACCACGAGGATTCGGATTGGTGAGTCCACACTTTCAGGTATAAGGTATTTAGTCTTCACGGCTTGTGGTAGCCCATTTCCAAGAATTGAAAAAGTAACGGGCTAATTAACCGCCGCCCGATGCTCGGCGTTTGCTGCTCGTTTAGCACCACCCGGGGGGTACGTGTAGGGTAGCGAGGGTTAAACCTGCGGACGCGAGCAACATCACCCCCCCCGATTCTGATTACACTTGACTAATTCAGTTACTTACAAGCGCGCGGCGAATTCAGTCGGACTTTTTCGTAATGGCTCCAGTCCTGTCAAAGCAACAAAAAATCTGTCTTCTCCTAAGCCTGGCCGTTGGCTCAATAAAAATAAAATAAAGTAAAAATCGAAAAACGTGGGGGAAAGAATATTAATATTATTAATGTTATTTTTATTATTTTTGTTCCAAAGATACGGCATATGATTATACAATTCGATTATGTTACTCATAACTTCTTTTTCTTTTACCGCCGACATACTCGCGTGATTCGTTACCGTAGACACAACACGTCCTCACGCAGTGACACCTGAGGTGCGACTGAAGCATCTAAACGCTATTACACCTTCCTAAATCGCGTTCTAATTAGGATACTAAATGATTTAGTCAGTCAGAAGCCACACTTCTTCCGATTTAGGATGCTAATAAGGATTCTAACTTCGTAAATGATATTTCACTTGACTGAATTAGTGACTGAATGATTTAGAACGTCTGAATTTAGACAGGTGGAATAAGCGCTTAAGCTTGTTTGCCACCTTTTTAATATAAAAAAGGTTGTCAAGAATAATGTGGAAAATACTAATACACGCGCTTTAGACCTGTCAAAAAAGATAGTTTAATAAAATAAATTTAGGATTGGTGTGCGTGAAAACAAAAGAAATTATTTTTCATAATTTTCTCTAAGACACGATTTCTTTTCTGATATTGGGATTTCTGATAAGAAAAGCACGATACCAAATTCTTAAAACCTCTTTAGATTTCGTATTAAAATTATTAACGATACCTTGTTATGATTTTATTTATTTTTAAGCATTTAACTGCTAGATGTTTAGATGGTTCGAGTCCCGTCCGCTGCCTGGTCCGCGTGGATTTTTTTCCAGTAAACTTTTCTTTAGATACCTTGTTGTTCACAAAAATCATATACTTTTCTCCGTACCATTCTCGAGGTCAGCGTTTTACCATCTTCAATAACTTTTAATAACATATTGATAAATTGGTCTTCTTGTTGTTTGCTAAGTGTCGCACGTTTTTCAGAACGCTTTCCCAATTTCCCAGAACGTAAACGATTGTAAAGGGTGGTTTTAGGTATTCCGTATCGTAGTGAAGCCTGCTGTAGACTCAGTTTTCCAGACTTCAGTTCTAAATAAGCTGCTGATAATTTCTCTGTAGACCAGCAAACTCGCTGGCTGGAACCTGAAACTTTAAGTAACATGCATAACTTTCCAATTTACCAATATACATCAAATGTCTAACGTTTAAGTAGGTACGCTGAGTAAGTGCGTACGTAAACGTATTTGAACCTGCGTAATTGTATTAATCAATCTTTTAGTTAGGTCTTTGCTGAAATCCATAATACGATTCTACTATACTTAAACACTTAAATGATAAAAAATTAAGGGCTTTTTTCATAAAATTTAAACACTGTTCAATTAAGCATTGTATAATTAATAATGGAGTATTCTTAATACAAAACAATATTTCATTTACAAACATAATAATATAGGTAAGATTCTTAATATTTAACAATTATAATAAGGCTCATTATAATATAAAATATCACCAAATTACGTATCGAGTTCATATATCACCGTAGACAAAGCTTAAATGTTTTGCATAGTTGTCGAAATACAAACCCAGAATTAAAAGTTTTAGGAACTACCACTGAATAGGAGTGCCAGAAAACCTGATTGTAATTTATCAGCCGTGGAATATTGGCTTGAATACGCACCATGCATTCATATCAGTGGTGATGACTCCGAACTTTGAAGTTGCGAAAACCATCTACACAACAACCACAACATCACACAACCATCGTACACCGTTCGTGCCTGTTCACGGAGTTTCACGGCACAAGTGTAGAGAATTTCACAGCAATCAATAGAGAGGAAAATACTTATAGGTTTTTAATTAAGGCAGTATACCTAGAGCTTTTTAATCAAGGCAGTATACCTAGAGCTTTTTAATCAAGGCTGTATACAAAGGTTTCACAAGAGATCAACAGGTAGGGTCAGGTTGAGGACAGTGTAACAAGGGGCACAGTGCAACATGTTTAAATTATATTTTTTTTATTTAAGCATGTTACTGCTAGATGTTTAAATAAAAAGAAAATATAACTAGAAAAGAATCCACGCGGACCAGGCAGCAGACGGGACTCGAACCCGCACCCTTCGCTATCCGACCGAATGCACTGACCATTATGCTACCGCGGCCCTGATAGCCGTGTCGAATTCTTTCTAGCCTATCTTAAGCTGCAATGCGGTTGTCACATTTTAAAAAAAATTAATAACATTAGTAAAATTATTAAAGTATTTGGTGTAAATTAAAACATTTGTTAGATACTATGTATAATAAAAAATTATAACTTAAATTACACTGTACCCCATCTGACTCTATGGTATTCCATAGTCTACTCATCAACGTCATCAACATCAACAATGAAGGTCACAACTTATTAGAGCATAGTAGTCCACTCGTGGTCAATGAGTAAGCTCAGGGGGCCATTCGCCTAACAGAAATGTTAATGATATATACAGAGTCGTCAAGTTGAAAAATGACTTCAGAGATACTTCTGAAGTCACCTTCCATTACATCATTTAGGATATAGATATATACAGTTACAATAAATTTTATATTTAGTATATAGGAAGCGGCATTAGATAGGTGCCATATTAACGTTACAAAAACGGACTAATACCCATCAAATAACAAATTACAAGAAACACTATGTCCATGCAATACGGTCATTTAGATAATCATTAACTTTATAATAGTCCTTATTCATAAGAGAATTCTTGATCTGAGATTTAAATTTGGTTAGTGGAAGCTCAATCAGATCTTGGGGAACATTGTTAAACAATGCAATACTACATCCCAGAAATGAACCTCTTGATTTTTGGAGTCTGAAACATGGAATGGCAAGCTTGTTCTTAAATCTCGTGTTAAAGTTATGGGTTTGACTTTTTTGCATTTGAAAACCTCAGGCGGCTAGAAATAACAAAATGAAATCGTAAGCGTTAGCGTTTTTCAAAGCATTTCCGTTAGGCGAATGGCCCCTAGGTGAACGTCGCGTTGTCAACCAGCTAACGTCGGATGGGCACTGCTGCACGCCTCGTTAAAATTAAGTAGTGTGTTAGAGATCGTCACTACGTTTGTTTTCTCTACAATGTACACGTTTCCTTCACACTCTTCAATTTAACAAACTGTGGATTGGCTCTAAAAGCTGTAGTGCTTGATGGAGAAGAAAATGAGTTGGCAACTCGAAGGCAGCGTGCGGTCGACTCAGGAGCAGCACGTTTGCAACCAGCGCCCAGGATACGGCAAGCGTGCGAGCGAGGCGATTCGTTGACGGTACGAAGAAGATGTTGTGAGTGTATACCCAAAAGAAATCCATACAAAGAATATCAACCCCACGAGTTGAGGCGGTGTTGGTCTAATAAGCTGTGACCTTAATTCTAGTTTTGATAACTAAATTCATTTATGGTATATAATTGACAACAGATCTTTTTATAACAATCATATCCTGTGGACGGGAACATTGATACCAGCAGTGCTATTCTGTAAAATTTTCATGCGCGGATCCGATGCGGATCTGCGCGATAATAAAGTCATTGAATAATCCTATACATACATTTCCTATAGGGGCATAATAAAATGACATAGTAAAGAATATGCCATCTACGAAAATGACGATATTTTTTATCTTCAGATATGTTGTCAACTATTATGCCATGATTATTGTTATATTACAAGCAGATCTAGATTAAACGTCTTTCTTCTCCTCAGGATTGGGGGTCCGAAGCCACATGTCCGCTTTGGGTAGCAACCTTGGGAAGCCTAGGGCGTGGAGAGCGAGTGCGGCTGCGCTGGGAGATGTGAGGGGGGACGGAAGAATGGTAGGCGCCGGTGAGAGAACTTGGCTGCGTGGACGCAACTGGACGAAAGCGCCGTTGCCACACCGCGCGTGTGACGGCGGCGCGTGATTATGTGCATCCCCCGAAGGAACAAGCTGTCCGGACATAAGCCGCACGCGCGCCCTACACCCCGTGTGCTTCGAAGAACAGTAGAAGAACCTGCCTCCCACTTGTGAATACGTGAAGCCTTTGAGCACCAATATATATTTCCCCTTTTCCGTAGGTATGAACTGCACGTCTGGAATTTACGTACGAGTCAGGAAATTTAAAGTTATACACGCAAACAATGTTATTTGACATCATAGTCGAGTACCTAAATAATTGATCTTCAAATCGCTGCAAGTTGTTGATATTAAAATCATTTTGTAAAGTGTACAGAAGAAACAACCTTTTGATGTATATTTACAGTGTTTTATTTATATATATATATATATAATTACAATAAAAATTAAATATGTTAACATCTAAAGTACATGCCGTTTTTACACACATAGTTGGGTGGGGGGTGTGTGTGTTCCGTGTTGACTCTGGTCACTTTACCGCGCTTCTGCGCATCTATTTCGTATCGAAGACGCGCAGGGCACTGATAGGTACGTGTGGACGAACAAACCCACCGAGGGGAATAGTTGACCTGGGAGAATGTGTAACCGTCCAGCATCAGGAGATTTTTCTTACCGAACCTTGATGGAATCATAACGCACTCATCTAAAACACAGTTAAAAAAGTAGTTAATAAAAAGGACCACAAAAGCTATGAATGCACATGGTAAGAAAAAGAAACACGTAGAATATTGAATGAACGTTTATTTAGTTTGACATTTCCCAGCTCATAAATCGTAGTGCAGTGATACATACACAAACACATTAAGTACCTGTAGTGATACAGTTTCTAAGCTGAATAACAAAAAACAAAATTGTTTAATCAAAAACATTATAAACACAATTAATGAATACATTACAGTATTACAAAAAAAATAAAAACCGTCTTTTCCTTTTGAGTCCCATCCCTCAAAATAGTATAATTAGAACAGTAGTAAATGGAATAATAGGTGAACCACAGTACTACAGACTATCTTAATAATAATTAATTTAATTCTATTTAACTAAGTACTTTAGATTGAAACATCTAGCAGTTAAATGATTAAAAAAAATATATAATAGGTATCTATTCTTTGAATTTTCGCTGAGTACCGTCACGTATTGGGCTGATAAGCTAGCACATGGCAATAGATCAGTAGGTACATGCGATCATAGAAGACTTTTAAACCTCGCTAGCGCTTGATTTGCCTATCATGGGACCTGAACATGTGCACATCGCAGTTTCTCTTAGTCAGACGCATATGGCCAATTCGTGGAATATTCACAATGTATAGTAAGTCCATTCCTGAAAATTGACTCAGGTAGCAAGTGTGAGAGTGATCGCATGCGCCTAATGTGACCATCATGAGAGCTGCTCAAACGCACCTGGCAATCCCTTCTCTTAGACGAGCACACCCAATTCGTGGAATAGTTGACTTAGTTTATTATAAGTCCCATTCCCGAAAATATACTGAGGTGGCAAATGTGAGAATGAGCGCATGCGCCTAATGTGGCCATTATGAGAGCTCATCAAACGCGCCTTGCAGCCCCTTCTCTTAGACGAGCACAGCCAATTCATGGAACAGCTGACCTAAAATCCGCGCTGTTTACAGTGAAAATAAACGCAGGTGGCGAGTGTGAGAGTGAGCGCAAGCGCCTAATGTGTACATCATGAGAGCTGCTCAAACGCAGGCCCTTCTCTTAGACGAACACAGCCAATTCGAGGAATAGTTGTAGCATTTATAGTTTATAGTATTTCCCATTCCTGAAAATGTAATGAGGCGGCGAGTGCGAGTGTTCTCCGCGCATGTACTTAATATGCCCGTCATGAGACCTGCTCACACGCGCTTCGCAGCCCCTTCTCTTCGACGAGCACAGCCAATTCGTGGAATAGTGATTCTGCCAGTACGTGTACCCGTTGATCATGAGGAGGTTTTTCTTGCCACTTTTCGTGGGGATCAGTATGCCCTCTGGTTCAGACTGCTGCGGTATGCCTTCACCTGTTCATATAAAAAGTTTTTAATAAAAACTAAACAATGAGATTTATTTAACAATCTCATTTCGTTTTGATGCTTAAATATTCTCTCACTCGAATTTTTCAACCGAAATATTTCTTGGTCACAGTCCCAAAGATGTTGTATTACAATATAATACATAATAGTTCCCAGATTTTGATAGTGCGGAGCGTCAAAACTAACATGTAAAAAAATAATAGGTACATAAGTAAGTCGTGCATACCGTCGTAGTCGTAACATACTATGTCTTAAACAAAAGGTACTTACTTAATGTTCATTAAAACAACACAGATAGGCTAAGTAGACAAACTTTATTATTTTTATTAAAAGCAGTATTTTTTTAGATACTTATTAGCTATATGTAGTACCACAGTAGTACCTACGTATACGTGAAATGAATAATGTTAACTTATGTTAATAATATATTAGTAAAAAACACAAAGCTATCATTACACTTAATCACTAACTTCGTTACATGAATAAATAAATGAAAACGGGGTGCTAAAAAGGGCACTTGTGTGAATTATCCTACTAATTTAATTAAATATAAAATATCATACTACAAGAATGGTATGTTACTAAAATGTAAAATTAAATTTCGTTCAATAAAGAAGCAGTGTAATTTCAATGATTGAAAAAGACAAGTCATCAATTATATCTAAAAAAATCTTGACTAATTAAACCAATATAATATTATTTTACTATTGTAAAAATATGGTAGCATAGATTTTTTCCATGTCCGTTGAACACCAGGCTCATGCACTATGGCTCAAAAGCGTTATGCAAAACTCAATTCAAAACAACTAAATATTCAGAAAACCATGACATGAGACATTTTATTAATCTCCTTTTATCATTTTCTGATTTGGTCAGATGTATTGCGGAAGGCATCTGGTTCGAATCCTCTCTGAAATCTGGACGAAGAGGATTTTTGAAGTAAAACTTCTTATTTGACGGGGTGTAAATGGAAAAGATGAACGGAAATGCGTCACGAGCGTCACACGACTATATCATATCCCACCCACACACACACACACAAATATATATGTGTGTGCGCGTGTGTGTGTGTGGGATGCGTGCGCAGCTTTTGGATGCATGAGAGTTGGTAACTCAGCGGAGGCTGAAATGCTACGAGCGTAAAGAGGGTCACCTGCGACATTATATGTATATACCTAGTCAGGTCATAAATTCTGTCACGTGTTTAATATAAAATAATTGAAGCAAGTTTATTCATTATGTAACCATTTATATACCAAAATGAACTTAACAAAACATAGATTCTTATGACAATAATGTTTATTCAAAATGACCTCCGTGATTTTGAATACAGGCCTTCAATCTGCGCGGCCAGTCGTCTATCGCAGCACGAACGCGGTCCATGTCAATATCGGCGGCTGCCTTAATCAAGGATGTCTTGAGTGACTCCAAATTGGGATGAGGCTTTGAGCACGCCTTTTCCTCCAAGTGTAGCCATATCTTGTAATCTAACGGACTCAAATCTGGACTGGAGGAGGACCAGTCTTCGTGCCGGATGAAGTCGATTTCACGCGCCGCCAGCCAGTCTTGTGTGCTCTTCGCTCTATGAGCTGGCGTCGACTCTTGTTGGAATACCCAGTGCCTGTTATTGATCATGGTATGAGAAACAGGTTCCACAAGGTTCGTCAGGACTGTATTTTGAAAAATGTACCTGTGTTAAGCCCCAATAAGAAACTCCCAACTATACCATGAGCGAGGATGGAAAATGACCTCGTTGGACACGCGGAATACGGTTGCTCGCTTCTTCACTACTGTGTGCGTACACCTTATCATTTTGTTTGTTGTAGCTCTCTTCTACGGTAAACATTTTTTCATGCGAAAAAAAGAATTTTACCAATATTTTTCCTCTTTCCTCTTCAACAAAGCGCAGCATCTCTTCAGTTTCAGGCCCATTAGACGAGCATTCAAACGATGTCCTGTTTTTCTTTGATATGCCCGAAACCCTAAGTCTTCATTTAACACCCTTTTCACCGTGGTACTGCTTAACCCCATTTGAAGGGCCAACAGTTTCTGCTTACGTTTGGGATTTCTTTGAATTCGCGCCTTCACAGCTTTTATCACTGCTGGAGTCCTAACAGACCGAGGGCGACCACTTCTTGACTTGTCATCTACACTTAAGTCTTCATTGTATCGTTTGATGGTACGATAAACGAATCTTTAGGTTATATTCAAATTTTTCAGTATGTCATAAATTTGAATTGGCGCGTAACCGCAACGATGCAACGCAATAACTGCAACACGGTCTTCTTTAAGCGTCCACTCCATATTTAAAAATGAGTTAAATTCTAAAAAGTATACAATTTTATTTTCATGAACAATTCGAAATTCAATTAAATAAACTTTTTTGTGGCCAGCATTCAAAAAGAAAAGTTTTTACTGTGTGACAATACTTATGACCTGACTGTGTATATATACACACACATACATATATATGATTGATACGTTCGCTGCTTCATTCCCCTACGCCTTAAGCACCGCCTCAAAGAAAACAAATTTTACTTCAGATGTGTAGTCCGTGCACACCTTTTTTTCTAATAAAAAATCCGTATACAAACATATTATGAAGGGCACGATTTTGCCTTTATCGCAAACCGATTCAGTGGTTGTGTTCCTTTTGGGCGATAACGCGGCCATGGAGCAATGACACGGTAGATTTGCAGTTGCGGCTGTGCCTGACGCACCTCCACCTGGTCTGGTAGCCGCTCTGTGACCTCAATCCGTACCTGTGCCCGTTCATGAGAAGTATGTTGGTACCCCGCTTCGATAGCACAATTTCGTAATCTGTAAAAAATAAATATATACTGTCAATATCAAGATCACAACTATTTTTTATGGTACCTACAAAAGAAGGTTCATCAACAGGTCTTCCCTATGAATGGAACAGGGAGATTGGGCTATGAGGCGAGCCCAGTGCGGATTGGTGGGTGCAGCTAACGACTGCAGAGCAGTCAGGGCCAACGGCTTAACTTGCCTTCAGAAGAACGAAGGAGTTCGAGATAGTAAGTTTTTGGTCACCCATGCAATGTACGAACACTGCGAAAGTTGCTTAACTTCAACGGTCGCAGCCGAATGCGCTAACCACTTGCGCTATCGAGCTCCTCAGAAGAAGGTTATTTTTAATAAAGGAATAGGAATAATTACAACAAATCATTTTCGCATTTTAATAGAAATAGGATGAAACGTAAGTACAGGTATTCAAAAAGAAAACTTGTTAATTTTTTTCGTTTGCTTTCGTTGATCTTAAGTGTATGTAAGTGATCCGTAAGTATGATACTAATTACATTTCAAATGGAACTTTACGTCTCATTAGATCCTTGGTGGCAAAAGGACCTTTACAGTTCCTTATTGTTATTGGAATAAATATTGATTAATAATAATAATAAAGCTCTAATAATGCACCATAAACGTTTTATTTCAGTAGTTGAACATTTATGCTTTTAGATATTACAAATTGTAAAATGATATGAACAATAGTGAAATAGTGGTGTCGATTCTGGCACGAATCTCTAAATCTAAACTTAAATTTAACAACAGTGTATCCTTGTCATTCTCTATACAGAATGAAAAGGAGAGACTGTTTTGTTTTAAGTTTAGAGAATCACGCCAGAATCGACACCAGTATACATGTACGCGTAGAACAACACATGTGCAGTGTTATTCTGTACGAACTCACTTTCCACCACATGAGCACAGATTTCACTCATATGCATTTCACCTTGGAATCCACGGAATAATTTAAAATAAGAACGCGAATTTCAAAAGTTAGAAATCGATAATCAAAACTTTCATAGTTTTGGATAAGCTGAAGGATTGGTTCCTGTACATTTCGCAAGAATATGGTAACACAATCCCATAGTAAAACTTAGTGCAAATTGAAGTTATGCCTTAAAAGAATTACCTAAATCAAGAATTATGTCAAATATAGTCAGTTTCAATTTATTGAAATATCTTACTCAGAAATAATACAGAAAATCATGTTCAATAAATTAAACTACGAGACATAGCCTTTTGATGAGAATATTTCTACAACATTTAAATGTTCAATCATTAAGTATAATATCACAATGATTTGTTCGCGCCAATCATCACTTAGATAGGAATCGAATGTAATCACAAATTAGCAACCTAAGGAATATAAAAGAACATGCGATGAAGAAAGAAAGTACATGAGATAAAATAGTAATTAAAAGTTATTATTACTATTTAAAATAAATTTAATACTATAAAATAAAAACGTAATGTGTTATAATGGGCACTATATAATAACAAAATTGTGAGGAAGATGCAAAGGAAAAGAGTTAGTTTTATGTAAATGAACAGATAAATATAATACATTCTTAAAAAAGAAGTACATACATACAAATAATAATATGAAGCTGTTTATAGACAGAGATTAAAGACTTACTACTGTATTTTATACATTCTTAAAATTGAGGTGATTAATGTATATTAACAAGTGCAGCAGAAGATCTATTATAATAATGAACATGATTTTACATCAGTCATAGGTATTTTATATACAATCAAATTTATTCTGGCTGTAATTCCAGCACTAACTACTTTATACAGAGCTCTGGGTGGTATTTAGGATTCAATATCGATAAACTTTGTAACAAACACAAAACAACAGCCATAGATTAGGTAATATTTATAAAAGTATACTTCTTTAAGGATTACTTTTTCAAACGGTGCTTTTTGTGATACTAAATTTTGGAACAGTAGCACATTTTTCATTGTAGACGATGACTTCTACTGATGACTAATCGATATTGAATCCAGAAAAATCTACGCTCGCACTATATTCTGAAAAAGGAGATCAATGGGACTTTATACCGCTCCACGATCTTCGCGGAGAGGTATAGCGCAATATTATTTAGGAGGATGGTTATGCTTGTTGTGTCGGTCGATGATGGTGTGACCTATGGTGACGACCACGGCGTGGCAGTTCCTGTCTCGACTCTCGGTGCACAACCATCGGACTTTGGAGGAGCAGACAGAGCGTCGGGTGTAGTGGTACCCACGGACTTGCATGATCCTAGCTCCGATCTTTGATGTGAAGAACGTCGGACGATCTGTTAAAGAAATAACAAACATTTTAGAATCTGCAGAAGTTGGTTGAATTTCTTAAATTCTCATAAATGTTTTAGTGTCATTGCAAATGCAAAATCACGGCATTTATATCTTTTTTACTATTTCATTAAATACTTTAAGCCGGTTCGTCATCGTAACTTACATAATACTAACCTAGCGCCCGCGACTTGGTCTGCATTTACTAAAGAGTTTTGAGAATCTAACAGCAACCTTCCATTTGTCGAGGATAAAAAGTATCCTATGTCTCAATCCAGGTCATAAATTATATACCTATTAAATTTCATCCAAATCTGTTTATTAGTTCTTGCGTGAAATCATAACAAACATCCAATTTAATACTATAAAATAAAAACGTAATGTGTTAAAATGTGTAAAAAACATAGAAACCATTGCATTTATGTGTATAAGTAGGATTAATGCTGCTTTTAATACGTAATTGTTTCTAGCTAAAAATATTCCATCATTTTCTAATGTTGTTGAAGATTAACTTTAGGCAACAGAAATGCAATAATATTTGTGATTGTTACTCACGATAAACTTGCCTAAGTTACCGTAAAATTTACTACGGTTAGGTGTTTGTTGTAAAACCTTATAAAAGTTCAATGCTATAAATGTATGAGTATAAAGAAAATAGGTACTTATTGTGATAAGACTAATAAATGAAAAACATATTATTCAAATATTAAAATCTCTTGGGCGGTGGATGATTGTGCTCGTTCATGCATTTGACGATTTGATTGTAGACGGTGAAGATGACAGCACGGCAGCCTTTGTTGTTATGGGTCCCACACCACCAGCGGACCTTTTGACCGTTAGTGGATCTATGTTTAAGAAACTTGTAGCCAGCAAGAGATATGATCCTAGCGCCTCGTGATGATGTACCGAAAAATGGACCTGAAGGAAGTAAGGAAGGAATAATGTATATTATAATATCGGCGTGAACAATAATGAAGAATACCATTTTATACAGCAGGTAGGCACAATAAAAAAAACGAGTGTGCTTATGACCACACGACTGAAGTGAAAATTCTTTAGCTCCATCTGTATGTATTTATATATATGTGTGTACAATATCTACATGTATGTACATATACATTATGTCAATTACTAGCTATTAGAGAAAGAGAGCAAGAAAACTACTGTCTCTTGCTCGTCCCCCACTCAACTCCCGTTCGCCTCGCTCGAACACACTTTTCGTAACGCATTACGTAATCGCCAGCTTACCCCTTTATAGAAGTTTCACTTCAAAAATATTCAAATGCAAGTAGAAACTGCAAATGGAAATGTACGAAGCGCAGTTTCTTAATTAAAATCTTTTTGAATAACTAAACTTTAATTTAACTATCACTCTTTATTTATTAGTAAATAGGTTACAAACTAACAGTATGTTATACACTTCTAAGTCTTATGGTTAGTTTCTATAATCAATGCCCAGTAGAGAAATAGTGAACAAAGACCTATTATTTTTATAAACGAAGTATCAAATTACAATGCTGTGAAGAAAATTAACCAGAATTAGTTTAGCTTCTCCTGGAGGTTGATTATTTAAACTGCCCGTAATGTTCTACATAAAGTAAAAGATTTTAATCTATTCAGAGCGAGAAGGAAAATAAAAAATATGTTCATAGTATGAAATATATTAATACTAGCCAGCTAATCGAAATACTGAAATTCTTCAATAAAAATTTATCATAATGTTTTAGCTCGATATTGATTTGTATAAAATGTATTTTTTTGTCTCTTAGAGTACTAAGTTGTCAAATTATGAGGTTTGAGTTTAACTTCGTCTATGAAAACTTCGTCAACACCTACATGAAAATGCAATAAATATTATCATTATTATGTTCGATGGATTGGTATATTTAAATTTTCGGTGACAACAACTTTCCGACAGCTTAAAACTGCCCCCATTTTCCAAAAGATTTAAATGAAATTGACAGTCACGTAGCAAGTTTCTTTACATGAGTTAAAGGTGTCATAATGTAATTCGTTTATGAACCTGGTCATTGGATCTTCTGAGATTGATCGGACTTTAAAGGTTTCCTGTTCATTTGTGGCACCTTCTGTTTTTTTTAATTGATAAGCCTTTTTGTTAGGTATTTTTCGTTCTAGTAAGAACCACCTGCTTTTAAAAATAATAACATTATATATATTTAGGCTGTGTCCATTGTCCATAGTTGTTTTTTTTTAGTTCGATTTCGTCAGCTGTTGCATATTAAGGTATAAGATTCTCATGTATTTTGCGACTACCTTATTAGCTGTACTTTTTTTTCCTCGTAATTTCTTAGCATTTCTCGGTAATTCTCAGTTGACCTGATTTTTGAGCATCCACATGAATATCTTGTCAGTAATATTTTGGGATTGATTATTTTTTTTCGAAATTAGTTGTAGCTATTATTTAATAAGAAATGTAATTACACAGAATGTTACAAAAATACAAATAAAGCTTGAAGGGCGTTGAAGTACATCATATAAGGATTCTTCCCTAATTTTCTTAAAATATTTGCATGAAGTTTTAACTTTTTTTAAAACAGTTATTTTAATGATTAATAAAAATATCGAGCATTTTAAGATACGTCACTAGTTCGTGGATCATTAAAAATAACTGTTTTTATAAAAAGTTAAAACTTCATGCAAATATTTTAGAAAATTAAAGAAGATTCCTTATATGATGTACTTCAACGCCCTTCAAGCTTTATTTGTATTTTTGTAACAGCCTGTATACACTTAAATTGGTAAAACATCACCCAAAATATTTTTCTAAGTTGTCCTAATTTACATTGGCTGTCCAGTAACCAGAATCACACTTTCTACCTTTAATAGTTCCAAAACAAGCTATGATTTTACATTACTGTCTATAAACATTTTGAAAGAAGATTAATATATTTTGCTGCTATAAATATTATCAGTATAACAAGAGTAATTATTTAGATTTATGAAAAAAAATGTTCTTCATTGTACTAAATTTTTGTCACTGGTAAAAAAAAAATCTCATTATCTGAGTAAATTATTCCAATACTTATCGCATATAAGGAATACTTCAGTAGTGCTGCATCAGTACCCGAAGCGGATGATGTTTAATGTTTAAGATTCCTCTAATTTCCGTTCGTTTGTTTAATTTTATTTTATTATGTCTGATATTTTTTTCTAAAGCTAACACTAAAACACTAATGAAACGCTGAATTCTCCCTAAATATAAGCATTATTTCATATTATTAACCTATTTTTATTATAATTAAAAATTAACCTCTTGTTTCTCATTTCCGTCACCCAATTCCGCCAGACTAAAACGCGAAGAAAAATATAAAATGCCTAAATTACTGTTTGTTACTATTTTATTCTGTTGCAATATACATACGTAGTGAATGAATTAATTATTACCGACTGAGTTGATTGAATAATTAAAATAGGTACTTAGATTTTTTTTTGTTATTTCACACAACTGATTAGATTCTGTTTTGGCTATTTATATCTGAACAATGATTTCCATGTATGTCTTATTAAATCAGAAATTCATAACCTATTGAGCAATTCTTTAAAGTCTGGCACTGCGGATCTAATTTACGTCACCCCTAAAAGTATATTACTTCATAAATCCAAAACTAAAAAGTTAATTAAAGGGTCAAATGCATACATGATAAAGTTTAACATGTTATTCAAGTTTATTTATCCGTGCAAGGAATATAATAAAAAAATTGAAATCGTGACGGAATTGATACCAAGAACACCTTATTGTGAGTTATACCATTTTACGATACTTAGACCACCGCCACTGCATTTGCTTAAACCTGATCGATTATGATCTCGCACAGATCGTTTGATTTCATCGAGCTTGCAGTGTTTTGAATGTTTTCTTCTTTTAGTGTGGTACCATTATTACATTTTGCATTTGTGACTGTACGCAGTGTTCCCCGTGAAATCCCTAAAGTATTCATAAAGAATTTCTTACAAACTCTGATTTTTTGTTCATCTTTAAGAAAATGAAAGGCGCAATTAGGGTCCCTAGGTTTAGCCGCGGTAGCTTTAATTCTGCGATATTTTACTTCCAATACTGTAGTACAGGACGACAAGTAACGATGTTGACGTTCAAGTGTTTTGAAGGCCCAATATTTATTAAATATCTGTTTTCTCGCTTCGTCCGGAAATTTGGAATAGCAACTCCATCTACATTTATCATCGCACGGCGGTTTCATAACTTTTCTTTTGGATAATATGGATAACGACAATCTGGTTGTTGTAGAAGATGATAAGGGCCGTTGATGAATTTTCTTTTCTACGAGCATACATTCATCTGAAATGTATAAGCAAATATGTTGAGAAAAAACAAAATATTATACTTCAAAAGACTAAAACTAAAAAGACAAATTACTCCATAAAAATAATAATCATCCTAATATTTGTAATATTTTATGGGAATTGCTGCCTAGAAATAAAAAAAAACTACCGTTCTAACAATTACAATCAATTTATTTTCACAAAAGACAAAACATGACTTGCTTTACAAAATTAACCTGCAAGCAAGCACGCACAATGATTTCACATATAATTCTTATCTCATCTGGCACTTGACAGTTCAAGTGTCATTCATACGACTACGTTCAAAAACCTGCGCTCAAAAGTACAATGCGTTCGCGTTCTGAAACGTTACCGCACGTGCGCACACACGTCGTGCCGAAAATCAAACGTGCTAACAACTCCACCCGACGAGCTTCTTCGATAGTAAATAATTATTACAAATCAAACATATCAAGGAAATTTCCAAACTTTAAAAATATTACTTATTTATAACAAACATTATAATTATTATATTACAGTGTCAAATCTATGTTATGATTATGTTCATTCTTTAGGAGGACCACTGCTTCGTCGACAGTGAATACCACAGCTTTGCATCCCCTGTTTCGACACCACCACCTCGTCTTGTGCCCCCTACTGCGATGACGTAGGTACTGGAACCCGCTAACTGTCACCATAGGGGCTCCTCTGTTCGTCACAGAAAATAC